GGGGGGGGGGGGGAGGAAAATACCATGCGAATGTATTTTACTTCATATATTTCATGCAACATATGTGCAATTTATTTTTCATGTTTTTATTGAGTATATTTTGAACATGCATTATACGTTATTCTAAAATACTTTATAAGTGATGTAAAAGTAATATTTTGTAGCAATTTGTTGAAGGATTTGATGAGTCTCGAATGAATTAAAGATTTCATAAAAATTAATTGTCAATACATAAATTTAAACACCTATTAAAATTTTTAGATACATGAATATGAATAAATTCATTTATAATAACTCTAGATTTATGTAATTCAAGATTCATCGAGTCAAAATTTATTGAATCTAGATTAATGTCAATGTTATTAATTGAAAATTAATAACACAAATTTCATAAATGACAATAATTATGTAGTGTTTATTACATATCGAAAAACGAAAAATAAGGTATAATTGAAATAATTGAATTACAGGGGGGGTTAAAATCGTCCAAAAAATGACTCTCCCCTACTTCCTAGAAGTTAAACAGACATAACTCCAATTTTAAACATTAAGCTTTCAAAGAAAGAGAAAGAATCTTAATCCCACGGCGAGAGGTCCAGGAATGTGAACCCCTGATTAGAAGATCAAAATTATGTTTCTTGTGTAAGCCAAAAGCTAAATAAGTGCATGTGTGATGTCTCATATATGCCACACTAAACAAAAAACCACATGATGATACCAGTTCATATTCCTTCATACCTCCATGATCAGGAAACTTCTTCAATATAGTATCAGCAGCTTTCAATCCCTTTTTATACTGTTTTGTCTCATATGATTTCTGTATAGATAAAGCAATAAAATTATTTGATAAACAAATCCAATATTCATTTTTTTCTGGCTGATAAACAAGAACTATAAAATTACTAACGAGAAGTTGTTCATTTCATTAATCTGATTGACTCTTGTTCTATAAATAGATACAACACAAGGTCAATGAGTTGGCTATTTATATGACTTCTCGAAGTCCAATTTAGAGCGTGCAGCAGACATTTGTGCTTAAAAAATAGTGAACCATCATCATGTCCTGAAATTATGTTCCTTCCTTTTCCTTTTCTCAGTCAAAACACCTAGGCTAATTTAGCATTTTTGGAACAACAGTGCACATAATGGCATGATTGGCATCATTGAAAAGCCATAAATTGCTTAAATTCAGTCCATGCAACCTTTTCTATAAAGGAGAAATATTTGTGCTTCTTAATTTGAAATAAAAGGAAATTGTACAAAATTATGTCTTTGGAAATCTAACAATGGGCGGTTGATTTCCATTTTCAACATAAACCGACATTCCTTTCTCACAGAAACAGAATCTTCCATCCCAATTGTACTAGAATTACTCTCAACGAGACTTACAATAGCATAAAAATTGCAGAGGATCATTAAGAAATACATGAAGCATGCTCGATTACAAAGAATTCCATAAAGAATAATAATAGGAAATAAACCAAAAAATAAATAAAATCTAATTCTTTCTACTGAATTCAAAATGGTAGAATTAAAATCGACGAGGGTTCAGTAAAATGTATAAGTGAAAATTCCGATAAACTTACAACAATAAGTTTAAAAAGGTTGGCCTCTTTCGGAGGAAGCGATGCGCCCATCGTAGATACTGCACAGGAGACGGTCGACAAATAGATAGGGAGAGAGACAGATGATTGGTTCGAAAGAGAGGGATGGACGGGAATTAGGGCGGCGACGGAGCGAGGCGGAACTTGGGGTGGCTTTTCTCAGCTGCAACCCTACTGACAGACAGAAAATAGAAGAAGGTGAACTTAACACGAGTCCAGTGCTTGCTACTGACGTTCTGTCGTCTTTCGGGTGTATCAAGTAAAATCGCCTTTCAACTTCATAAAACCTAATTCAAAAACGTGCATGTCCATCACGATTACGCTTTATTTTTGGGAATTTTTATTTTTATTTAATAATGTGTGCCATTTAACACTCCTCGGTTTGGATGGTTTTATATCAATTTCGAAATCAATTTCCATTCACACATTTTATTACATCCACAGCTTTTAACCCTACATTTCATTTGATTTGACCTTCCAAATCAAATTAGGTTTTTATTTGGTTTAGTTAAAAATATTGTTAAAAATTCAAGCTATAGTCAATAATTATTTTTAATCACACACTTTATTGTATTCACAATTTTTTAATCAAGTATTTCATCAATTTTTATCAAAATTCTATTTGAACCCCCTTTTTTGCCAAATGTATTTTCAGATAGTATTTTGATTGTCAATATATGATTAAAAATTAAGGAGATATTTACGTTTGAACATAATATTATTTTATTAAAAAATGTACAATTGAAAATAAGAGAAAGAAAAATAAATTTTGGAAGTAATGGGACCAAACAAAGGCTAAAACTATTTTTATAACAAAATCAGATAGATGTTAAATTAAGGGCCTGTTTGAGATACATTTTTCATTTCATAAAATGAGAAATGTAATCGTTGGTGCACATTCCTTAATTAAATTGTGAGATACAAGTCAACAATTGCGACTGTACGGGGGTCCACTAACAGTAGGAATTCTTCTACAAATGAGGAAATAATGTAGAACAAATAGGTGCTAAATCATTTTTTATAACCAGCGTCGCCATCAAACTTGATTAGTTCATCAACCATCTGAGGAGTGATGCCCATTGCTCTCGACTATATGCTAGGCATCCCATGGACGAAAAATATTGTTAATGAAATCAACACATGATAGAATCTCTTCAATAGCTATTTTTTTCTTTATCTCGCTTTGCTCTAATAGTAAGATCAAACCAAAAATTTACTAAATCGGGACATTGAAGAAAAGTAAACTTATATTCAATGAAGACAAAAATAAAATTTAAACTCTATTTGGCTCGACTAAAAATTTGATTAAAATTTAAAGTAAAGTTAACAATTAATTTCAATAACATATTTTACAATCTTGAATCATACATTCTACGAACTTTTATCAAATTTTACTAACAAATTGATTTTTATTTAAGTCAAATGGGAATTAGCTTCTACATTTGTTCCATTAAAATGAGATTTTGAGGAAATATGTATTTTGAATAAATGAAGCAATTAAAAAAAATGAGAAAAAGTTGAATTTGCATATAAGATTATTCTATGAAACAATGTATGGTTGAAAATGAGTTTTGAAAAAAAAAAATGTAGAGCTCGAGGCTCCGTAACATAAAGGACGAAAGTAAACCCCTCCTTATCAACCATTAAATTGAGTTTTTTTTTCCTTTTCTTTTTTAAAAAATGAATTTTAAAATAATGATATTCTTGAAAAATATGTGTTTAAAAAGTACTATATCTTTCATTGGTCTAACAACTTTTCAATCATACATTTCAAAATTTTTTATTAAAATCTGCTAAAAATTTTAATTTTAATCCCATCAAACAACCTTTTTATTATAGGAACGTGAGATCAAAATTAAAGAGAGTTTTGTTTTAATTATCGTTTCATTCGTGTAAACCGTAAATTACTTTACATTTTATCCTTTCAATTTTTTCAACCCCTATTTCTCCTATATATTTTCAAGTCCCCATACAATTTCAACGCCATTGGGTTAGGGCACCTTTTCATTTTTCTAGCGATTTCGTGATCAGAGCGAAACCCTAACCCTAGATATCAACCATGTCTTCCAAGCAAGGTACTGCAATCTTTTGAATTATTAGATTTGCTTGCTTCGTTTTTTTCATTTATTTGGCAATATTGTGTGAATAGATGAAAGTTTGTTGATTTTGTCTTACTTTTCCGAATATGAACAGGTGGGAAAGCAAAGCCTTTGAAGCAACCAAAGGCTGACAAGAAAGAGTACGACGAGGTATTGATTTACTGCGAAGAACATTCGATTTGAAGTCGTTACCTTTTTACCGAATTAATTAATTTGAAAACATAATCATCATCTGTAGGGGAAAATAACAACATTTGGGTTTGTTGAATTTCGGTTCATTGCTTCTTAATTAATTTTTATTTCCTTTCTTTCCTTTCTTTTTTTTTTTTAAATTTTTTTGTCAATAATGAATTTTATGAAATTACAATGTGATAGAATCCTGAATCATAAATAACAAAGGCATGCTTTGTATGTTAGTGTTTACTGTGACAAATCTTCCATTTAGATACATGTTTTCCTTCGCATATTATAATTTTTGTTTATTAATTAAATTTGAAAAGAATAATAATTTACTTTCTGGAAAATAAGAAGATTCAGGATTTGTAAATTTTGATTTATCGCTTCTTCAACTCTGGTTTCATTTTCTTGTATTTGTGTTAATAACAATTTGTTTTCTTTCCCATGGATATTTTCTTTAACCTTGAGCTTAGATAAGCTGATATTATTATTTTTTATTTCTGGATCTCAGTGGCTGCCCAATATGTGGTGTTTGGTGTTTGAATAATTACTTAACATCAGAATTGTACATGAAATTACTTAACCTTGAATCTTAAAGATCAAGGCAACCATTGCTAATATTTTCTAGGGTTAAGGTTTGGCTCTCAACACTTTTTTGGTTCATTGCTAATTCGTTAGGTCTACTGGAAGATTTAACTTAACTAGAATTTTAACAACTTAGATACATAACATCACTAGTAGATACTTCCTGACGGAATGTGTATTGGTTCATACATTGGTTGTCAACCACTCAATCTACACAACTCCTGTTTATCCATAAGCATAGTTTAGGTAACCATGCATATATATTATCGTTTAGTTGCATAACCTAATTTATTAGTTTGCTATTACCATCTTTTGATTGCTTGTAAGTTTTGATGCTTCTAAGTTGTTGACTATGATTCCACTCTGTCCACTACAACTTTCAAGAAACAAAAAGAACAAAAACAAAGTGTTTGGTGTAATCACACTTTCACTCAATCTTGATGAAGCAAGTCTATGAACATCTATGTTAATACCCTGTTGCAGAAAAAAATTCTGGTGTATTAGGGTGGTGCTTAAAGTTTCTTATCTATATTTCTTCTCTCTTATTAGTTGACACGTCTATTTTGTAGGATGACAAGGCTTTTATTCAGAAGAAGAAGGAAGAGGAGAAGGTGGAAGTTTTTTCTGGCCTCTATACCTGATCTTACTTTGCATCTTAGTTATATTTGTTTTGATTTTATCCCAAGACTTCAGTTAGTTATATCTATTGTGATTGTTGGTTTGATAGGCCCTGAAGGAGCTTAAAGCAAAGGCTCAGAAGGGAGCACTTGGAGGTGCTGGGCTGAAGAAAAGTGGAAAGAAATAAAACTTAAAAAGTACTACAAGAAACAAAAAACTCCTTTGTTGTCAATTGTATCGCGATATTACCATTTGGTTTAAACCATTTTAGCATGATGTTCTTGCTTATGCTAGACTATTGAGCAACTTTCTACGAAGTTTCATTGTGTAGAACTATTTGTTTGGAGCAATAAACGTGTGGTTTTGCATGTCTGAGAGGCTTTGATCCTTTCTGGAAGCCTTTTTGTTGATTGTCTAAGTTTTCGTGCTTCAGTTTCAATTTGTTCTGAGCGTTTGGATTAGCATATGCCTTGTGCTTTGTTGTTAAAAAGGATAAAGGGGTCTTAGCAATTTTGAAAACATAGACGTTTTCGTATCCATTTTATAGGAAATTAAAAAGATGATACTCCAGATTAAGAGAGAGCGGGTTTGCAGACATGGAAAACACTGCTGGATTAAATTTATGTATGCTTACAAAATGTTCAACAACAATATATAACTGGCAAATGTAACCCTTTTTTGTGAGGTATTTCCCAATTTGTTGTCAATGCTTATTTCCTCGAAACTAGATGCAACTACGTATCTGGAATTTCGTCATCCGAGTGTCTGAAAATGGGATATAACGAGACATAACAAAACAAGTCCATAATCAACAAAGGAAAGGAATATATTGGGTGCTGCTAGATGTACAGAACGTTTCCTTACAGAGTCTTCACAGAATGATGTGGCAGTTGAGGATTATTAAAAAAAAAAAAAAAAAAAAAAATGGAAAAAAAAAAAAAAAACAAATGGACAAAACAAACGTCTCCAGTGATTTCCTTATTTCATTCCCGTCTGCCTCTCCACCTGAAATTGGGAACACTAGAATCACGCCTCTTTCAACTTCCGACCGGTGCCACCATCCTTCTCAACCTCCGACGACAATTTTAAATGTGGCCAGATTTGCAATCACCAAAAGCATAGTGAAATCGGGTCCTTCATCTTCAACACCGTCGACAAACGCCACATTCTTGGTCGACTCAGTCCACAACAACTAGGTATCTTCACCTTCGTCCAGGAACTCCAACTGATTTCCACCGTCGACAATAAACTCAGCCCACAACAACAATATTATCTGTGAAACGTTGTGAAGAAGGAAGTTTAGAAAATTGTGAAAAATGGTCAAAAAAGTTTTGAAGAACGATTTGAAGCTTGTTCAGTATGCAACTGTTGTGAGAATCAAACAAATTCCCTATTCTCTGTAAATTGTGAAAAACGTTTTGAAGTTTGTTCAATATGTAATTGTTGTGAGAAACTAGTGTAATTCCCTTTTCTCTGTAAATTGTTGGGAGAAACTAGTGTAATCTTCTTGCTGTATTATATTATTTTTCTGTTATATCTCTCAAATTGTGGAGTCCAGTCAACCATTTTGACACTTGTAAATGGATACTACAATTTTGGGAGTCCAGTAAACCATTTTGACACTAGCAAATGGATACTACAATTTTGGTTGCTATTAGTTTTCTGTTGCTTAAATTGCGTAAGTGGATACTACAATTTTATTTTTATTTTTTTGACCGGGGATGCCTACACATTGTGCTCCAAAGTTGCAAAGGAAAAATCAAAGAAAAAAGCTAGAGAAGAAAGTGGACTCGACAATTTCCATATGTGGGTAAGACAACTCTTGAGTGGACTGGAGAAGAGAGTGAAGTTGCTTAGTTGGAAAAGGGAATCAGCTCCTCCAGGAGAGTGGTTGGAGAAGAGAATGTCGATCGCTCGAACGGCCAATGCTCAGCTCCGGTGCTCGTGAGGTCGGAGATGAAGTGGAGTAGCTAATTTCCCCACTTCAATTTTCAATTTTAGGGCTTCCAGTTTTGGAGATAATGAAGTCGGCTTTGGCAGGTTATGAGGTCAAACATAGAAGATTTCCCTCTTTTTCTCCAGCCACATCAGTATTTTTCACAAATTCTGTAAGCATTCTGTGATATTCAATCCGTACATCTAGCTTTATTGAATATATTATATGAGGTTAGAGACGCTGTCAAAAAATAACAAACCCATAATATCCAAAAATATTAACTAATTCTTAGGTGTAACTTTAACTGACATGGTTGAAAACAAAGGTAATTTCGACTACAAAACGAATGGAGACGCCCTGCAAAAAGACATTTTTCTATTATCTCATAATCTCCTTTTAAACTTAATACCATGGTGGTATGTCATCGATATAGATAAGCTGCAGGTACTAGTCATGGTAGGATGTCGAAAGAAGATATCCTTGTGGGCTATTGTTCAGGCTTTTCAGGGTCTTCCTCCTCTTCCTCTTTCCTTTCTTCTTCTTCCTCCTCATCTTCTTCTGGAGGGTCAGCCGGCATCGGCGGTGGTAATGGAGTTTTCATCGGGCTGAATTGGGGGAAGATGTCGGGCCTTCGTCCAGGCTTTGGCCTATCCCACTCCGGTTACAATTGTGTAGAACAGAACTTTGGTAAATGAGCAAAACAGCACTATAAAAATCACAATACCAAGGGATTCACAACACATGGGGTGCTCAATTATCTGTAACATGAGAATATCAACTGAAAAGGAGGACAGATCGATGAATATATATGTTTGCAATCAATGAGGAACAATGCTTACCCTGAGTCAACTTATTGCCATGGTAACCGAAGCCTGAACTAACCCCTCAATTGTGGGGAACCAAATATTTGTTAGCTACATTTTTTTCACATTTAATTCACATGGCCGTCCACGGTACACATGCCAAAACTTAAATGAGTAATCAAGGGCGGACCCATATGGGATCAAATGACCCCACAAGATTTTACCCCCGTTTTTTTTTTTTTTTTTTTTTTTTTTTTTTTTTTTTTTTTTTTTTGTCTTTTTTTTACAATCTACTTTGATGCACTCGTCGGGATACCAAATGAAATCAAGATATTGCATTCTTAATACCATTTCGAAATGCTCATGGCCTAGTTTTTTATTCATTAATGGCATGCGAAGTGGTCAACTATAGCAAAAGTTATGATATGTTAAAGTAGGGCGTTTAAAACTAGTATTTTGAGAATTTCGATAATATCCTAACTTTAAAAATTCGTTTGCGATCATGTGCTATCTGAATCCACAAATCGTCTATGCCATGTAAAAGTTTGTTTCGAAAACTACATCGTTTTCATATCGAATGGTTCAAACGGATATTGAAAATAGTTAAATATGTATCAAACGTACGCATCAAAAAAGACGTCTAACTCATTTTTTCTTTTAAAAAATTCAATTAATTATTATTTTGCACAATAAATTTTTCAATATAATTTATATTGTTTCATTCGGAAGTCTTACATGAAATATAACGTAAATTTTTTAGGATTGTTACGGATTAAATGCAATTTGAATTACTTTCGAATTATATTTGCTTTAAATTTGAATTTCATTTACTTTCTGAACTAAACTTGAATTTTATTTTAATTCATTTAATTTTTATATTCAATTTAATTTACTCAATGTTAGCTCAGCATTTGCCAATGAAATGATAAACAAAACTATACAAATAGCAAAATTTATTTAATAATAATATTAATAATGATGTAATTATACGACATTTTCAAAGTGTCAAAATACATATAAACTTATTTTCATTAATATTATGTTGTTTATTTAAAAAAGTTATTTTTAAAATCTTGACCCCACAATACTAAAGGTTTGGATCCATCCCTGTGAGTAATACATATGTACAAAAGGTTAAAGGTAACCACTAATATCACTCATTATTATTATCTCAATGAAAACGTAATGATGTAAACCTTGTTCCCACTAACTCATGGATGATCTTAATACCCCCACTCAAGATTCTAGCAGCCATTGGAATGGTTTCTACTAAGTAATTTCATAGAGATCTTTGCAAAAGATAAAAAAATAAAAAGTAATCGTAAAAGCTGTTAAATTATCATCTTGAGATTCGGAAGCAGTAACATGAGAATGAGGCAATTCTAGGGTCCCATATCCACCTTACCATGCTAGTAAACAAAACCAAAAGGCTATCACCCAATCTGATAGGTTTTCCCTATTAAATAAGTATCGATTTTAAGTTTATAGCACTGCAGATTATCGCACTATTCAGGACATTATTTATCAAAATACACAGCATGTATCTTAAATCCACATTGATTCTGACATCCTGGGAAAAATCAAAAACAGTTTTTTTAGGGATAAATGAGATCATTTGATGTCTGAATTGCAGGTCAAGCGAATTTAGTGCTTTCCCATAAGTCTTACAGATAGCCTTCAGAAAACTAACAGAGAAAGAATGGCAGTCATACAGGAATTAAAACATACAAAAAATAGATCAATCTGATATATTGGGAGGGAAACAGCAGAGAAAGGGAAACTATGACGGCATGCATCTAAACAATCAAGCCAATTACACCTTTGCACCTTTTTCACCAAGTTAATGGAGGAATTTCTTCTGAATCACAGTAAAAGACGTGGAAACTTAATTCTTATATGTTACAGGAACAATTTGGAGAATTCCAATAAGCTACTGGCCAATTAAAATCTTATAACCGCTTCCTGTTCCAAACAATTAATCTTCCCAGTTATCATTGTGGCGGTTCTTTTTAAACATCTCTCATTTTATATGATATACAGAACTTCATGGCAAGGTGCTAATGGCCAACGATAAGATGAGAGCCTTAGGTTATCAGGAGCGGTAAAGATTATAACTTGAACACAGGTGTAAAAGAAGCATTGCATTTGCATTGCTACTCTACAACTGTGGCAAGAGAAGGGAATAATCTAAGGGTTGAGTTTGATTGCAAGATGGAAAATTGCATGGAAAGAAAATATTTTCCAAGCAATTGAATTGCCTAGAAATTATTTCCATGGAAATTGCCAATTAAATGCGTTTGATTGACTTCACTTTCTACCTAAAAAATATTGTATTTTTCCATGTTTTGGTGTTTGATAGTCATTATTTTCCATGGAAATAGTCATTTTTTCCAACTTTTGTTGTTTGATAGCCACTAGTTTCCATGAAAATTGTCACTTTTTCCATAAAAATGGTCACTTTTTCCATGAAAAATTTCAATCAATTTTTAAGACTTTCTTTTTATCACAAAAGCCTACTTATGCAAGAACAATATTTCGCTTGATCATCTTTCCAACATACAAAAGAATTTAAATTGCTTCCTATGATATCTTAAATTAATACTCATAGAGACTTGGCTAAAATTATAGTGGCCGCGTTCTATGAAATCTGATTTATTAAAAAAAAAAAAAAAGAATTCATATACTTGCTAAGTTGGGTTCGGCAACTGCCATTCGTAATTCAAATTTGAACTCCATACATTATTACATATGCAATTGAATATTAAAATGCATACTAACGAAAAGGAAAGGGAAAATAGACATGTACATGTTGATTTTATTTTTTTTAGCCAGGAAAATAATAAGTTTATAGTTATGCACAAATCTACTTCCTCATATTATACATATGCCACAATTGTTACATTATGTTCTGAGTACAATCTAACTCTACAAAAATCGAAAAATGAAATATAAATAGAACTAGATTGCAACTGGAGCCAAATCATGGGCACATGTCAATGACTAAATTTTCAGTATAAAAGGAAGTACAGAAACAGTGGTACATCTCATGTCTTTGATCTTAGCTTCTGTCAAGTCTATTTCTATCGACTTGAATAATTCTGGGATCCGATGTAGATAGAATCTGGGGCATTGACATACCACCAGACACAACAATTTCAATTCCCTCCCTTACAGACAAGTTTGACTTTTGGGCTAATAACGTCACTGGAGTTCAAGAGGCATACATCAGCTATGTAAAGATGGTTTGTTGGGATATAAACGCAGCAAAGCTCTTCCTCTCCTTAATAATTCTAGAGGGTGACAAATTAAGTGATGAACCCAAATGCCTATTCACCAAGACATGGATGCCTTATAATGGCCACTTCCTTGAAAGCTTGTGTGTTCTGATCTAGAGATAAAAAATTCTTAAAGCACTGCAAGCATCCATATTTGGGAAATTCTGATGAGCAGAAAACACAACACATTAAGTCATAATCAGCAAGAAGAGAGATAAAATCAATTCCTTGATAATGACTGAGATAAAATCAATTCCTTGATAATGACTGCATCACCTTTATGATGTTCCCATCTTTCAACTTGAATGAAATTGCCATGGTTGATGCAGGACTCACGTTAACCTTTAGGCTGCATTGATCACAAGTGAAAATATTTAAGGCCAAATGTAAGAGGAAAAAATGTTATTTTTGATAAAGGCAACCACAATAAATAAGAATGAAAAGGAAATTTCTTTCGTAGAAACCTTTGTATGGCGAAATCAAGGTGATTGAGAACAACATTCTGCTGACCATTCATACTTTCCACATTAAGTACCATCCAAATCTAGAGAAAGAGCAGGTGGCATATTTCAATAACACAAGATATGGCATGAGAAATTACTCTCTTTTTTTGGTAGGGAGGCGACTTATTTTGTAGAGGAGGCTGGAGTCAATCCATGTAGTACTAATCCACCATCCACCTAATCTTCAAAAACTCACTTTAGGCCCCTATCTCATAGAGGTTTACTTACATTTAATATTTACAGCCCAATTAATGATGTTGTTGATTACATCTCACCCCACCCCCAAAAGAAAAGAAGAAGAAGAGCACAGATACCTAAAAAGAAAGAATAACAAAGTAATGGGATTTGGGCCGTGTAACGAGAATAACAGTTAAACATGGCAAGAATGAGACACCTGCATATACAGACGAATGAACCTGCCACAAGCCCTCTTCATCAAACGTTCATTAACTAACGCAATGGTATCGCCACAGCTTGGTTCGCCTATGAGCTTGCAAGAAACATGAAAAGTTTTGTTTAAGTTTGTGATCTTTCTCTCTAAAGCTTCTAAGGCCTACCTCATTGTAGTCAATTTGTCATGTACACCCTGGCATTACAAAAATGATACACGTTATATAGAAGACTAGCTCCTCAAATTTTCTGGACAAAACTCATGACAAGTTATAATTTTAAAACAAAACAAAATGAGCTAATGAGGACAAAACTATATGCATAGCCACATACATACTGATAAAACTGGTAGTCAAGGGTCGAAATCACCTAAGCTTGTCCTTCCACCCTCCCACCCCAGGAAGAGGGTGGAGGGAATGACAATCTATAATTTTAAAGATAGAAAATAAATCAAATTTTCAAGCACTCCTTTGCAAGGTTACCAAAATAATCCCATTGAAAAACCAAATTTTCAAGCACTCCTTTGCCGTTTTTGTCCCGTCCCCCCAATGCACCCTCCTCGAAAAAAGGTTATGTCCAAATTGGGTTAAGCAATTGGCAAAAGATGATTACCCATCTCACAAATAACCCGTCAATGAAGTCAGAGTAGTAAGTATCGTAAAATCCACAGAATAATCAATTGGAGCGATTCATTTGTTCATTACCCAGAAAAGAAAAATATAACGAACAATAAATACCTCGCGACCAGAGTGAAGGTGAGAAGAGGAAGCGAAGGGAGAAGGCTTGGAGGAGGAGGAGACGTTATCATCGTGGTCAACATAGTCGGCGACCGGTATGAGAAGCTCTCGATCGCTTTCTCTACTGCTGTTTCCCATTACCCCGAAGGCAGATATGGAAGCAGAGATGGGTCGTCGATTTCTTCTTCCTGGTTCGGTTGAGCAGATGAGAGAGACGACGGTGATATCACTGATATGTACGTGGATAGAGATGAGAGAGAGAGATGCTAACGTGAGGTGAGAGAATTTTTGAAACGGTTGAATTGCCTGGAAAATAAAATCCACCCTCCCCCAAGGAAAATATTTTCCTTGTTTTCAAAGAAAATGTGGTCACGTGACCAAAAGTAGGAAAACATTTTCCTTGAAAAAAATTGTCAATCAAACAAGACAAAAGTAAAAAATTAGGTGGAAAAAACACATTTTTCATGGAAAATGCGTGCAATCAAACGCGCCATAAGTGCTACTTGTCCACCATAATTTCTGCTATAACTTGAGACAATATTCTTCTTTGCACAGGTTGTAGAATAATAGAATTATTATACCTTCTGCTCTATGAAATACAAATTGTTTGAATTGAAATGTTAATATCCAAAGTTATTTCAAAAATTTTTCTACAAACATATAAAATAAATCAAAACAATCTCTTTCAAAAGTAAAAAATAATGTAATCTCTACTCAACTAGCAAATGCAATTTCAGAAGAATTGGTGAATCATGTTTGATAAGAAAGACTATTCCCCACATAGGTAGATCTCTATATAGTATGCATGTTCTTATAACCCTATTGGCAAACAAGTACAATGCTGGGATTTCAAGCCAAAATCCTTTTAATGGATTTGATTTTGTACCAAAATTTCTTTCAATTCTGTTAGTTTGATGCCTTTCTTTTGAGTAGTATTTTGTAAAACGACATTATGAATTGACGTTTGCTTATTCGTGTGGTACAATTTGAAACGATTATCTAAAGTTCTATGATCATATAAGATGTCACAAATTGTATGCTCGATAATTTGGGTATCGTAAGACACAATTCGTGATGTGATAAAAAAATCTATCGTTCACAATCAGCACATAAAGTTGGACACTTTATGTTGATAAGATTGCATTGTTCTTATTAAGATTTGCTAAATTTTGGAATAAGAACAATAATGTGTTTTGATGCACATTCGACTGGACAGCATAGATGACTCATTCATGACCACTCAAAATGAAACTCTACTCGATTATCAAACAAGTCACCTAAATCCTGAGCAAGTAATGTACCTTTAATTGCTAGTTCAAGTTTTTTTAAGTACCAATGAGTGAAGTCTTAATTGAACAATTGATCTCGGTGCTTTGAAAATCGGGCCAAAACAATTAGAGGTCATACACTTGCGATAACAGAATCTATTAATCATTGAGATGAGACGATCATCACTCCAAGACATTTTCTATAGGCAAATTAAACCTGAGCTCAGTAGTCCGATGATGAGATTGTTCGACTTTATATTGTGATTTGATCACAACGAATTCACCTTATGAAAATTGAACTTAAAGGGCAATACATGTTGAAGGGCAAAATAATCATTTTTTGAATTTCAACATATTGATGGTCAAATGGAGGTTGACTTGTGAACAAGAATCAGAAGATATTGTTAATTGGATCATAATTTGCTTCTATAACTATCACTCGACTCGAGAATGCAATCTCAATTTTTTGGTAAAATGAGTCGGGATTAATAGATGTATTTCAACTGGTCTAGAATTAACCTGAGTATAAATGACTATTGGATCTTGAGTCACGTGAGTCCGATTAAGTCCCTCTCTTAGCTCCAATAAAGGTGTACGACTTAATTGGTCTCCTACAATAAAGTCCATGAAAATTTGTGCAATTTACTAACCCTAATTGAGTATTATAAATATGCCCTTTATGGCTTGTTCACGAAATAATTCTTTTGATTTAAAACTACCGCAAGTGTACGGATTGTAACAAGTAATAAAGTGAATTTTTAAAAGTTCGAATATCGTCCCACAGAGATTGAGTAGTTCAATTCTATATAATCTAGCCTTAACCGAATCTAATTGAGTGAAAATATGGTCCAAATGCAAAAAGCCCTAATTTCAATTAAAACCCCTAATTTCTCAATTAGAAACCTTAATCTCGAAATTTCTCTAATTAAACGACTCAAACACTCAAGTAAATGAAATTATGCAAATTCAAAAGCTAATTTATGGAAATGAATCAAAATAAAGTCACTAGGATCACGAATCTCCAATTGAAGCTATAAAAACCCTAATTTCATAAAATCAATGACCCGATAGAAATTTGCCAATTGAATGTTCCTAAATCTATCCAACATATTCTCTCGATATATATTAGACCTATTCTTGCACACCACCAGCCTATATCTCTATTAATGATGCAAATATACAAGAATGCATGTGATTTTGTGAACAATTAGAGAATTGCATAAAGCATAGGGGTATATCTCTATCCCCTATCGGACCCTATGTTGATTTACACCTTACCGAACCTATTCCACTTCTCTCGAATGTAAGAAATAAGTCATCAACACTCACACAATCATTGACCACTAATTGCGGAAGAAAATCAATGCATATAAACCATTCAAATTGTTCAAACGATTCTTTATATTAAATTCATGAAATATGGAATTAAACTAACAAACAATGGTTCATCGATCACCTAGTGAATTGAAAACCTAGCCTAGAATATTCATAATTACAGAATAACAAACGAAATTAATAAATTGAAAGAATAGCACCCGTATGAAACTTTCTTAAAATCTTGAATAAAGCCTTGAAAACCTGCTTGAATTCTTGTGGAATCGGCTTCAAGATCGTGTTTCTTGCCTCCAAAAGTTGTAATTTTCTTCTCCCTGGACGTTCTCCCCTATTTCTGATGAATTTTGGCTTTTATATCATATCCTCACGGAGCCTCGAAAGAGTTTCAATTAAAAACGCAGGTTCAAAATTTTTTTTGGTTTTTATAGCCATGCGCCCGCATGGTGTTAAACCATGCGACCGCATGGTTCAAGTGAAATGGCTCTATGAAATCCATGCAACCTTCTGTGTGGCTGCACGGTTGTAACTTTCAACCTTACTGTTTTGGTCTCTGAACTTCGTTTTCTCTTTTCTTGATCTCTTTTCTTTCTTTCCTTTATTCCATCATCAAATATTGACTCCTAATTGACATTTGGGTCAATCAATTCCTTGATCACTTGCTCGGCTCATCTTTTGATTAATTGCAATTTAGTCCTTCATCTTTCACTTTTCTTCAATTCAGTCAAATATTACTTCTTTCTTCCTCCGATCATCTTGTGTCGTCCTCAATCTCATACTTGGCATATTTTCATTCTCGTTCTGCACTTTAGTTCAACTTTCCAATATTTGCACCTTTAGTCCCCGAACTATTGCTTTGTTCCATTTTGGTCCTTTTTTTGGCTCTTTTCTTCTGAATTCCATCTTTTTCATAAAAACATCTATATTGCATGAATTTAACGAGATTAAGTCATAATTCAACTACTTTGTCCATGTTTAAGTCATGTTTGTGAGCTAAATAAGTGTGTAAAAACACACTTATCAGGCACATATTCATATGTTTTTAGGGTTACCCATATTTCGTTTTCCAAAAGTATTTGGCTTGTGACGATTTAAAACATCCAATGATGTCGAGGTGATTTAACATCCTTATTCAAAATGGGTTTAATCTTCAAAGGAAATTAATTTCCAATAACCAACAAATTGTTCTTCAGTTTTTTATTTCTATTTTTTCTGTTTTCTCTTCACCGTTTCATCTACCAGTTACCACAAAGGTGAAAAGTATCACTGATAAATTTAAACTTGCAATTCAATTAATGTAGTGTCTAAAATGAAAAACTAAGCAAAAGACAGAATAGCGATTGAAGTTCAGAAAGGACAAATGCGGCGGTGGGACTTACGATTTGGAAATCTAAAGGAGAACGACGAGTCATCTTCTCTTCATCAGGTGACATGCACACAATCCATGACCCGCGGTGTTCATGTGTCAAACTCCAATCGCTAGTGCTTCTAAAAGGCCTCAAGAGAGCCTTCGAAGAAGATACCGTTGATAGTATCACAATTGCAAATGAGGTTGAAGAAGGAGAGGGGCACAGAATAGACGTCGTTTCTGGAGTCAAAGATATTAAGAGTAGCAATGCCATTTACCGACGGCGCGTGAACGTGCGTACTGTCAGCTTATCTAGTTTTGAGCTTATCTCCTCCGCTAGTCCTAACCAGAAAATCTACGGGGAGCGGGTCCGGACTTGAGAATTGGAGGGGTACTTTTAAAATTGACCTAGTCAAAGGTTCTTATTTCCAATTTGACTTTTAAAAACTTGAAAATTATCACATTAACATCTTGAATGGTAAAAGACCAAGATTCCCTTAAATATATTATATAATTACAAAATATTGGATAATTTAAAAGACATTATTACCATTTTAGTTAATAATTGAAAACCAAACACTTTTCCACTTATAAAACTGCAGAACGAGCTTCGAACACAGAAAAACTCCCATTTTTCATCTGCTTAAACATCAAAATATCAAAAAACTTTCAAACGCCGAAGCCAATTTTTTTTTCAAATCAATTACTTCAAATCGGTAAGTATATTTACGCATGCTTAATTTCGATTTCAGTAAATTAGTGTACGTTTGAGTAGTTAAATAACACAGTACTTAGTAGAAATTTTTTTTAACAGGTCTATAATTTTTTTCTTTAGAACCATAGAAAAATAAAAAATCATACGTAAAATAAAAAGTCCGACAATCAACTGTGGGATGTTAACGAAGACTGTTAGACAGCAGACAATCGACTGTCATAAAACTATCTATCAGCCAACAGTCGGCTGTTAGACGACTGTCTGACAGCGACAGACGACTGTTAGACAGTCGGTTGTTTCTAATTAACAGCCGACTATCGACTGTAAAACAGTCCACGGTCGATTGTTTTTTTCGACTGTTTTAAGAGTTTTTTATTATTAATTTCTGTTTTGGCAATTGTCTTATAATTTTAATTACAAGTTGATTAAATAAATAAATATCTGAATTTTTATTGTTGTAATTGATTTAAAAATTCTATATCGTCATGCAGATATGATAATCCCGATCTGTTATTTCGGTGATTTCGAATTGAATGAAAATAATAGATGGAATGGAGATAGACGAGTGATATATGTGGTTGTATTGTAATTCCCGTAACAGAGAGTACATCATATGCGGAAGTGTACCAGAATTTGCAAAATAAGCTGAATGTCGATTCTTCTCAGTACGATATGCAACTGAGATATTTATTCGGTGATTATGGGGATTCGTCCATTCCAATTCCACCTATATTTGTTACTAATGATGCTGAATTGAATTATCTATTAGAATTGAATAAAATGCATAGGACTCCGACTATTCTTAGCGTGACTTTAGTTAAGAAGGATGTTGTCGAAGGTGAACGTGAAGATTCAGATGGAGCGGATAATAATGATCGAGATTTTTGGGAGACAATGGAGATAGTTCCTGCAAATGATGTAGTTATTCTCGAGATAGTTGCTACTGATCGTGAAGTCACTGTTGCGCACAGAATTTCGTCGACAGTTGCGGACAACGAAAATATAAATGATTTTACAAATGAAAATTTAATTACTTTATCCCGATAGAGACCTGAGCGGGGTGGGAACTCAAGGGGTGGAACAAGTTGACCGTCCTCCAATTTTTCGCGTGTGGCTCCCGATGATAAGGTTTTGTATGTTGAGCAACTATTTGAAACCAAGAAAGATTTGCAGGAAGCTGTGCACCGGATGACATTAAAATATAACTTTGAGTTCAAGGTAAAGAAATCAACCAAGTCATTGTTGACAGTTGCCTGCGTTGACGACAATTGCAATTGGCACTTGAGAGCGACTAAGATGGACACGAATGAGTGCTTTGTAGTTCGCAAATATGCACGGGAACATACTTGCGAAGTGAAAATTTATCGAAATGATCACAGGCAAGCTCGAGCTTGGTTTATTGGTCGACAGATAATGCACAAGTATCAGGATCCACGGACGATCTACCGACCTTCGAACATCATTAACGATGTTCGTCGAGAGTATGGAGTGGTCATGAGCTACCAAAAGGTCTGGAAGGCTAAAGAATGTGTGTTTGAGGATTTAATGGGATCAGCCGAGGAGAGTTATGCTAAATTGGGCAGGTATTGCCATAACATGGTGAGAACTAATCCTGGCTCGGCATTTTTTATTGAGATGGGGGCGTTGATTATTTTAAGTATTTCTTCATGACTCTCGAACAATGTATTTGGGGTTTTCAAAATGCAATGCGACCCGTAATTCTAGTCAATGGTACAACTCTTAAAGCTAAATATCAAGGCAAGTTGATTATTGCTACATGTCAAGACCCCAACATCCAAATTTACCCGCTTGCATTTGGCATAGTCGACAACGAAAATGATTTGTCAATGCGTTGGTTCTTTTCTAAATTGAGGGAAGTGATCGGCGAAGTCGAAGACCTTGCCTTTATAACTAATCGGGGACAGTCTATAATAAACGGTATCGCTGAAGTTTTTCCCGAGACACATCACAGGTATTGCATGTACCATATACAAGGTAATTTGAAGACTAGGTATCGGGGTAAAAGCATCGTTTCATTGTTCAGGAGAGCAGTCGAAGCTTATAGTGTTGAGGAGTGTAATAAGTTCATGGTCGAGATAGGAAGTAAATCATTAGCGGCGTGGGAGTATCTAACGAACATGGGGATTGGACATTGGGCACGGTCATACTTTCCAAGATGTCGATACAACATGATGACGTCGAATAACGCGTAGTCTCTCAATGCATTGTTTAAGAAGGATCGAGAGTTATCAGTTCTCGCAATGATTGAGAACATTCGTAACAAGCTGTAACAGTGGTTTCATGACCGACGTGCGGTATCACAGAGTTGCACCAGTGTGCTGGCCTCAGCTCAAGAGGAGAAACTCTTCAAGGCTGCAGATATTGCGAGAAAGTTGAATGTGGAAGTATTTGATGAGTTTTGCTTCTCTGTGCAATGTGCACGTAATACGGCATACATGGTTGATTTGACTGATAACACATGCACTTGTACGATATTTCAGTTGGAGAGTTTTCCATGTGAGCATGCAGTCACGGTGGCCATATATCGAGACTTTGTAACGAGAACATTATGCTCTTTTGTACTACACGACTGAGTCGTGAAGAGCAGCATATGCTGAGACTATATTTCCTCTGCCGAATGGGAAGTTCCTGACCATATTCTCCCGTTCAATAGTTAGTTGCCACTAGCAATTGAACCGCGTGGTCTTGGACGTCCAAGTACATCTAGAATACCATCTATCGGAGAGTTTCCTCGATCGCGTAGGTGCGGCAGGTGCAGAGCCATATGGCATACTCGTCAATTTTGTACTAGTCAAATTCCCCTAAATGACAATTAGACTGATGTGTTCAATGTATAATATTTCCCTTTACTTTTACACTATTTAATATTTATTCGAGATCACAAATAATTACGAATAATAGTTACAAATAATTAATTACAAAAAATTTTTACAAAGATTAATTACAAAAAAATATTTACAAATATTAATCACAAAAAAGTTTTATAAAGATTAATTACAAAAAAATATTTACAAATAATTTATGGATCACAATTAAATTCAAATAAGTCTCACGCTAACTTATTTCGCTAATTCTGTATCCATGACTGGCTGATTTCATCAACCTTATGTGCTATACTTAAAAATTCTATATACTGGATTGCGAAAATGCCACAGTCGCCCCTGCAAATGAACAATATTGTGTTAGTTTGGTTCCAATTTAATTTTTAAAAAAAATTACAAACACTTACGATATAGACTGCATAGCCATCGTCTTATCCCGCATGATAGCTACTCTGTCCTGCACAGTCAGGCTCGCCCATCTAGCGATCATAGGAATGATCACAGTCACAGGCTCTAAGTTTTGCTCGAGCTGCCCCTGTGTCAGACTTGAATGATCGGGGTCATATACATATATCGTCAACTCAGAGAACACGATCTCCAGTGCAATGCAGTGATGATTGACGATCACTGGAATGTACATATGCGTACAGCCCTTCCACAACTTTTCCCCAACAGTCGGTGACAACCCGATGACCCACTCAAGCATATATGCGGGCAGCACATACTCGTTAACCATAAGCTGGAGCTACTGATACTCAATGATAACGGCACGGAAGAACTCGGTGTTCAGTATTATTTGACCAGGCTTGTAGAATGATTGTGGATATCTCTCAACTCGATCGCGCAACAAGTCCATGTGCTACATAAACGAAAAAGAAATAAATAATTATTTCATTTAACAAATTAAATGTAATGTGTACAAACAGTAACAATAACACTTCACTTACATCGTTAGCGAGCTAAGCCCCCTGAGTGGTGATATCATGGAACCACTTGTATGCGTCCGATATCGTTCTTCCAGCTATCATACGGGTGGTGCTGGAAAAAAATGTTAAACGAAACTTATACGAGTACTAGTATTCTATTAAATCAAACAATACTTATTCGAGCAACATTGCTCACCACTAAGCCTCGAATGCTTTCCATTTGGCATGGTCGACCTCCTGGAACATATTGGGGTATGTCCCGTCGACGAACCTCCTCCTCTTCGTCTCAGTGGTGAAGGGAGAGACGACGTACTGTGACGGCACTCTCGTCCTCTTGTCGACCACCATCTCCTACATGTCAACAGAACACTTGCTTGCCTCAGTCATGACGATCGTCCTCTCCTCCTCCGCCTCGACCACCGTCACCTCCTCCACCTCGGGGCTCGCCACCTCCTCCATCTCGGGGCTTGCCCGCTTCTCCGCCCCGGCTATCGTCACCTCCTCCACCTCGGGGATCGCCACCTCCTCCACCCCGACTACCGCCACCTCCTCCATCTCGAGGCTCGCCACCTCCTCAGCCCCGGGGACTGCCACCTCCTCTACC